ATTATGTAAAATTGTGGATGTGTAACCGACGTGATTCTGCAATCTGCATTTGGGGTAAAAATTGGGAGTTCATAACCCACTTGAATCTAATGTATGAAATATGATATGTCAAGAGCTTTGTAATGTTGTGAACAACCAATAAAAAAAGAAAAAATATATAAAAACAATAAATTAAAATTTAAATTAAAAAAAAACCCTCAAGGCTTAGGAAAATGGAAAGTAGAATGCTCCCCTTCTATCTCCTCATATAAAAGCAGTAGAAGGCAGAGGCAGGCTGCAGCAGACCCTTTAAAAGACACTTGGAAGGACTTTGCCCCTGGTGTGGCCTCTACCATAGAGATCTGCTGTGGGGCACAGAGTGAAGATGGAGGAGCTGGAAGGTCCCTGGTCCCACCTCTGCCAAGAGTCTTCAGGAGGTTCCAGCAGCCCTGCCCTAATTAGAGGTTGTAGGCCYCTGGCTTGGGGCAGGGCAGAGCTGCTTTCCTTACTGGATATATGGTTAAGATCTTTATTTAAGACCCTTCCAGGGGCAGGATGTTCTTTACAGGGTAGGGCACACTCAAAGAAAAACAGCAGAACAGCCCCTTATATTAGGCCATTGCTTTACAGGTCACAATGCACTTACAAATAAATCTAGCTTCTCACTTAAGATAAAAACCTAAGAATTCTCCCTCCAATCCGCCCCTCTCAGGTTCTGTGGCTGTCCATTTCTCCTTCTTCCACTAAGACTTACCTATGTCTGGCCCACTGTGAAAAAGGTTAGTTAAGCTGATAATATCAATCCTAGATAAATAACCTGGCTCCAAGTGAGAAGAGACTCTTTTACCCTCAGCTTTTCTCGATTCCCCAACCCCTGCCCTAGAGTTCTCCCTCTCTGCTTCCCCCGATCAAGAATCTTCAGTGGGTCCCCAGTTCCTTCAGAAGTCAGCCTAGTCCCAAGGACTTGTGTTCAAGGCCTATTCCCATCTCTTCCCAGCATCCCTTCCACACAATTTAATTTTGGTCAAAGAAGCTCCCCTGCTGTCCCTCAAACATACCTTTGCCCTCCTTTGTCAGAATTCTTGTTCCGTCCTATTCCTCCTATGTTGTCCTCCTCATTCCTCAAGGCTCTGCTGCTTGTAGGAATTTCCTGAACTACCCAATGACCTCTGCCATCCAGAAATCCCTCTCTCCTCACTTTGACTCAGACTCCTTTATATTGTGGAGGTGACCATCAAGGGACAGCCTGGCCCAATAGGAAGAACCTGGCCTCCTGGGTCAGGCAGGCTAGAGGTAAGAAGCTTCCCTAATGGGGTATGTGGTCCAGAGTATACCTTGCTGGGACTGTGGGTGGGGGAGCATGGAATGTGTGAAMAACTGAAAAGAGGCTGTTGGAGTATAGAGATTTAGAAGGAACGTGGAGGTTAGATTCCAAGTTTTGGAAGTTAGGAGCCTGAGGTTTTGATTCTTTGAGGAGACAGCTCCTAGCACTGTTCCTGAAATTAATGTTCTGCAGTGACTATTCAGCAACCAACATGTGTGCTTGGTTGCTGAATAGCCTTCTACTGCTTCTGTGTGAGGTCCCCTTTGAGCTGCTTCTCTGTGTCCTCTGGGCCTTTGTATCYTCCTCACTAAAAGGAGGGCATTGGCCTCAAGATCAAAGCCCCCTCCTCCATGCTCTGACCTCAAATCAGGTGATGCCAGTGTGAGAGCGGGTGGCACACAGATTGGCACAGTGAGAGTGAAAAAGAACGGTCTTTTAAACTCTTCAACAAATATTTGTGGAACACTCTACTTCCATGGGGCCAGGGCAGGGGAACTTTCTGGAAAGCTCTTGTGCTCTCGGAGCAGCCAGGCAGAAAGGCCCAGACTCAACTGGAGCCTCCTCCCCTCCTCCCAGCCCCGCCATGTGGAACTGTAGCTGCCTCAGGTCACCTGCCTTCTCTGGGTGCCTGTAACCTGGGGAGAAAACTAATCCTTACCTCTCTCCCTGAGGGGGACTATGAGAATTCCAAGCAACATAATGGATGGAAAAGTGGTAGATGCCTGGGGGGGAGGGATTATTATCTTTACAATCATGGGTTGTTTATGAAGGCACAAGAGAGTTGAGAAACTGAGCCTTCACCACTCCTCCCTGGGAGATCCACTTCCTTCTCACTTCCGCAGTCCACCCAGGATTTGTGAAAACACAAATCCTCTCCCAGCCTTGCTTTCCACACCCAAACCCCTGATTAAGTCCCTTACCTTCCTGGGTATCATTGTCTAATCCCTAATCTCTTTCTCACCAGT